CTTCTAACACTAGGAATCATCCTTGTTACTCTCCTGTGGACTACCTCCAGGGAATGGGTTCAGCCCTCTTATGTCGCAGTGACCAGAACTATATGACCACTTGATAATGATATTGGGGATCTGAACTTAACTGATCATGAGGTCCGTGCAGAAGGGATATAAAAATAATACCATTTGCAGTTTCGAGTTACAGCAATTTCGTGAACTGACCATTACTAAAACGGGCACACGGATTGCATTATGTAATAATATGCAGGATGGACACACATATGAGAAAAATATGTGTGCGAAAGTTGTCTACAGCATTGGCTCGTAGGAACAAACTGTGCACAATATGGTGCAACATCTAATCTGATGCACATGTAGCATATTTGCCAAAGGCGTACCCAGTTTTATTTACAAAGATCCTCCACAAAATTACTTTAAGACGCAAGGCCAAATGTGAGATGAGGAGCTGGAGTGCAGTTTGACAGTGGGATCTAAAGTGGAATTTCATTGGGAGTTTGAATGGAGTTTGAGTGGGAGTGGGAGTGGAATTTGAGCGGGGGATCTGGAGCGAATATATCTCTATATAAGTCAAACCCTAATATAATCTGAATGATCTCTTCTGTACCCTTTCTGTGGCCCTGAAGTCCTTTCTAAAGTGGAATAAACAAACTGGATACAACACTCTAACTATGATCTAAATAGTGATTTAAGCATCACCTCTTTGGTTTTGTAACCGCTGTCCCATGCAGTGTTTCTCAGGGCTCTGTCCTCGGTCCCCTCCCCTTCACCCTTTACATGCTCCCCCGTGGTGACATCATCCACGGACATGGGGTAAATTTCCACATGGATGCGGATAACACCCAATTCTATCTCACTGACTCCACCCTCAACTCCAGGACTACTGGTGTTCTGACCGACTGCCTGTCCGACATCAAGTCCTGGACGAGGGACAACTTTCTCCAACTGAATGTCAGCAAGACTGAGGCCCTCCTGATTGGCTCGTTCCAGCACCTCTGCACCTCGGGCCCTGGCAGCATCAGCATCCATGGTAGTATTTCAGCGCCTTGGGATGTCCTCCCGACGTGAAAGGTGCTATACAAATGTAATCTTGTTGTTTTTGTTGTTACACACTCAACCTCACTAAGCGAGTCAGGAACCTGGGTGTCTTGTTTGACCCTGAACTATCCTTTCTCCCCCACATCCCCGCCATGACCGGCACTACCTACCACCACTTCCGCAACATTGCCAGACTCCACCACTGCCTCAGGCTGCTGAAACCCTCACCCACACATTCATCACATCAAGGCTCGATTATGGAAACTCCCTCCTCATTGGCCTCCCCAACTCTTCCTTTCACAAACTGCAGATATCCAAAACCCTAAGCTCGTGTTCTCTCACGCATCAGGCTCCGTGACCCCATCACTCCCACCCTCGCCGATTCCATTGGCTTCCCATCCCTCAGAGGATCGAATTCAAGATCCTTGTCCTCATTTTCAAGGCCATCCATGGCCTTGCCCCCTCCTACCTCTCTGATCTGCTGACATCCTACCAACTTGCCCGCTCCCTCCGTTCAGTGGGCTTCAGCCTGCTCCATATTTCCAGCCCGATCCGCCCTACCAGAGGTGGTCGGGCTTTCAGCTTCTCTGCCCCCACACTGTGGAACTCCATCCCACAGTCTCCTTCAAGGCCGGTCTCAAGACCCTCCTCTTCGATCTGCCTTCAGTCGCCCTCCCACCTTTCTGCCTTCCCTCACCCCTACCCCACCCCCACGCTCGGGTTCTGATCCCTGACCGACCAGCACCTTGGGACATCCTGCTGACGTGAAAGGCGCTCTATAAATGTAATTTTGTTGTTGTTGTATTCTATTCTACCACTAATGTAAGGTTTATTGTATTCTATACCCCTACTTATAAAACCTAAGGTCCCATCATCTCGTCACAATTTTGACAACTTTACCTTTTCACCTTTAATATTAATAATAATAATCCTTATATTTGACACAGCGTCATTCACGTCAGGAGTTCATCTCAAAGTATTTCACTTGATTTTCCTGTGAAGCGTTAGGTCGGTATTTTGTGTAAAGGAGTTATAATGGGGTTGGACAGCATTGCGAAGCTCATGGAGGTTTTTTTTGTAGCACTGATTGGCAACAGCTGAAATAAATTGCTAACTGAGTTGTAAAAAAATGCACTCAGTTTATCCTGTATACGCCAGTCAGTCACAAAGACATTGCTGGCTAATAATCCTGTTTCACACACTTAAATAGTCTGACATGGTATTTGCACTATAATAGTGGGCAAATACAGCTGCATGGCGAGTGTTTTACTTGCCAACAGATCATATCAGAACAAAGAATGGATAGCTTTGATGAGAAACTAACTGGGTCTAATGCTTTATTCTGCCACAGCTTTGATGGTTATTGGCCTAAATGTTCTCTCTGTGAAATGAGCAAACACAGTTGGTGTACATTCAGATAATAACAACCCTTGCATTTGACATAGCACCAATATATATATATATATATATTTCAAAGTGTTTCACAGGTAATTTCGGTAAAGTGACAATCTATAAATAATCTTTGCATTTGATGTAGCGCCTTTCACGCCAGGTGGACATCTCAAAGAGCTTCACAGGAGTAACTGTGAAGTGTAGTGACAGAATAAACAACGTGTAACCCACTGATTGTGTTGACTGTATTTATAATAATAATCCTTGCATTTGATACAGTGCCTTATCACGTCATTGAGATGTGTGAAAGCGCTTCACAGGATATACTGTAGAGTGGATTGACTGCATATTTTGTGGGCAAAACGCGTCAGTCAGTTGCACACAGCAATGACCAATTTTATTTGAGGGATTGTCTGCCAGGACACTGGGGGAAACTCCCTTCTCTTTTCAAATAGCGCAATGTGATCTTTAACATCCACCTGAACAGGCAGATGGGACCTTGGTTTAACCTCTCATCCAAAGGATGGCACCCCCAACTCTGCAGTGCTCCCCCAATCACTGCAGTCTAGAGCATAAACTCAAAGTCCCAATGCGGGGCTTGAACCCACAACCTGCTGATCCAAAGGTGAGAGAGCCACCAACTGAATTGGACTGACCACCTTATGTCAAGATGACAAGTGAACAGTACCTCAGAGTTGGGGGCATTTCCAGGAAATATTTATTTACCCAGAGCATAATAATAAACCTTGAATTTGACATAGTGCCTTACCACGTCGTTGAGACGTCTCAAATCGCTTCACAGAATATACTGTAAATTGTATATTTTGTGGGCAACATGTTGCATAAGTATTGATTGTAAAAGGTTAAAATGAAGGGTGGTTGTGGCAAGGGTCTGGATTCATTTGATAAACAGTTTGAAGCTGTGATGGAAAGACAATCGGGAGAATATTCTTTAAAGGATTGGATGAAATGGGACTGGAAAGTCTTCTTCATCCAAACCACTCTTGTGATCTTATAATTCTACAGACCAAGAATGAGCTGTGGATTTCACCATCATTTGTGAAAAGCACTATATCAAATGCAAGGATTATTATTATTATTACTATTTTAGCCTAAACAAATGTCATTTATTTTGTACGTGGAGTCCTGCAGCTCAGTGGTTGGACCTGGGTTTGATTCCTAGCAGGACGAAATGTTGGGCAAGTTTCCTTGCCCTGCACAGTTCTGTTTACCTAGCAGTAAGTAAGAACCTGGTTGTTAGTTGATTGGCGGATCGCTTTTTTGGGGTAATAATTTCTTGAAAAAATAATAAATTGGTTACTCAATCCACGATTGTTTGTCGGACACTGCTGTACACAACTGGTTGCTACATTTCGCCCACAGTATATTCTGCGTCTCGAAGCTGTGATAAGGTGCTATATCAAATGCAAGAATTATTATTATTATTACTGTGATCTAACATGCACTGATACTTCAGAGTTGATCACATTTAATATATAACTAATAAAAAGTGACAATAAAGCAGCAGAGATAAGTTGGGGTCTTTTATTTGAAGGCAGACAAAAGGTCACATAAAATCTTGTCAAGGAATTAGTTTAGGCAAATCACTGACAGAAAAGCAAAATGGTTAATTTTCTCACATTAACTGGCACTTGAAATATAATGCAACTGTTTGTATTAAAATCTCCACTAATTTGTAAATTTACCGACCTTTGGCATCATGCACATAGAGATTGCCCTCTGCCCACGTAAATCTTGTTGCTACAGTTATGCTATTCTCCTCTTATCACATGTATGGTTTCACTGGATGACGGGTTGTGTGAGCTGAGCAGACAATGTAAGCCTTGGCTCACTGCGCCCTCGCACTCTGGAACTCTCTCCCAAAATCTTTCAGAATCAGAACTTGCCTTTCTACTTTCAAAACCCTTCAAAACTCTACCTCTTTGAGCTTTCGGTTGCCTAACTCCCATATCTCAGGCTTCCACTCCATCTCTGTGAAGCACTTTTCGATAAAACATCGACATGAGAAGTTCCATAAAAGTACAACAACTTGCATTTGTATAGCACCCTTGACACAGGACAGCGTTTCGGAATGCTTAACAGCCATGGAGCCCGACGCCAAGCCTAGGGAGATGACCGTAAGCATGGTCGAAGACGAAGGTCTTTAATTGTGATCCAAAAGAGGGGAAAGTGGGGGCAAGGCAGAGAGAGAGAGTTCCAAAGCTTTGGGCACAGTGGCTGAAAACAGGTGGAGAGAGAGGAGTTTGCATGTGTGTGTGTGCGGGCGTGCGTGTGTGTGTGCACGCAAGCATGGGGTGGAGGTAGGAGGTGCAGGATTGAGTCTTTTCATATGAATCCTAAAGAAAGTGGGACCCAAAAGCTCAAATGAAAAAGGGACGGTGACTCAGAAATAAATAAACAAGCAATAAACATAATAAATGTTGTTATGTGTGCAACATCATCGAGACTGGGAGTAATCTATTCACATTAATCTTTATAGGCCACAGGACAAGACACAGTGCTAAAGGCAATAGCAAAACATGGGGTGTATGTCCATTGATGCAAGTACATATCCACGGGTAGCAATGGGATGTAGTGGGAAATTGATAGTCCTTCATTCTAATGGTAAATCTGTATGAAGAGTAATTGGTGTCCACAAGAAAGTGTCTGCAGTGGTTGCACTGTGATGTTTACTACCAGGCTCTGCTGCTGGAAGGTGGACGAGTTATAGTAGATAGGTGCTGACAGCTAACAATGGTGGTTCACACGCTCAGCTTTGCTCTGCTGTCCAGGTCTTGGCTGTGCACTAAGGGGCAGACAGGGTATGCAGCAAACATGAGCTACCAAAACACGGTCTGTGACATGTTATCGCAAAGCATCCCCAGTACAAGAATGAGTTTAGCATGAACATTTAACATCGACCAATATGGCTTAAAAGTGCTCGTAGCATAAAATGCTTGTGTTTCTAGTCTGACCTATGACGTCTTGTAACAGGCCTCGGCCACTTTTGAATTGGTTGTCCTCTTAAGAGCTTCACATATAAAGTGTCCCGCTTCCATTAACTTGCATAAATCTACTCCCTAGTGTGAAATAAGGGGACAAAACACAGTTAGAATGTAGCACTCTAAATGAAAATACACATTTTCCACTGGCAGTAATGGGATACATAAACAAATAAGAATTCCGCATTAGAATTAAATCTTAATTGAATAAACATAGACGAGACATATCAATGCTTCGTTTGTACCTTGCATCAAATATCTTCATCAAACATTTTTTTACTTTCTCATTCCGTGGCAAGGCACTCTGTACTCAAATGGGCCAATACGAGCCTAAAACCTCACAGCTTGTCCCAAACTGTTGCTGTAAAGCTTCAAGTGCTCTGGGGCACTACCTTGTGTGAGGGGCGCTATATTAATGCAAGTTGTTGTTTTTGAATAACACAATCGTGTACTTTTGTTCAGCTAGGAGACTGACGCACACGGAAGCCCATCACTACTTATGAGTATCCAAACAGACTACTAAGTTTCACACATGCATTATAATTTCCATTTGTCTGGAATGAAGTGTTGAGTCGCTTCCTGGAGGGACGCAACCTGCTCACTTCATTCTGGACGCAGATTGGCAAGAGCCAAGGCTTGGGGACCCCAGAGTGTGCACTGGGGTACTGCTGGAGTTTACCCAGCTAAATCTGTGAGCTGAGTATCCTAACTCACGGTGACTAATAACATAACAATGGCAGGAAAATTTGTTATGGGACGCACAAGGGTTTCAGTCGTTTGTGCCCAACATTTAACAGAGAGAAACAGAAAATAGGTCATTCATTTCATGGCTGCCTGTAGGATAATGCTTGGTGCAAATTGGCCGCCGTTTTCACCTACACATACCCAGTCGCTACACTTCACAGTAAAATCCTGTGCGAAGTGCTTGGAGACATCTCGTCTCTGCAAGTATGATTATTACTAACATCTGTTCTGAGCTCTGGAGAATGGTTCCTCCAGCTTGTTCAGTACTGAATCGTAACATTGTTTTGAAACTTTACAGGAGAGAAGTTTTAAATGTAATTCTAGCTGTCAGAATGGTTTAGGCTTTGTAGTCTTATATCTATTTTTAGACCATTACCTCTACAGCCTCAGGTTAGTATTTTGCTGATCAGTCAAGTGGTGGCGGTCCACCAAATATATAATAATAATAACAATCCTTGCATTGGATAAAGCGCTTTTCACATCTTCTAGACGTCTCAAAGCGCTTCACAGAAAATAATGTAAAATGAATTGACTGTTTTTTTTGTGGGCGAAATATAGAGTAAGTCTAGACCCGGCTGGAATGTCTACCGTTCTGTTTCATATATAGGAACATCGGAATCAAAAAGGCAACATTATGAGACATTAGTTAATAATCCCTTGACTTCGATATAGCCCCAGATATCAGCCTGGCTAAGTAGGCACCTACGACGATGTAATGCAGGAGGTAGTATCCTTCAGATGAGTCATTAAATCGAGGTCCTGTCTGTCCAGTGGAATTTAAAGATGCCCTGGTTCTGCTTGAAAAGCAAAGGGAGTTTCTCCTGGTGTTCTAGCCAACAATCCCATAGGTAAAATTGATCATTCACTTCATGGCTGTTTGGGCAATATTGGTGTGTGCAAATTGGCTGTCGTGTTTGCCTCAAAATATGCAATCACTACATTTTACAGTAAATCCTTTGAAGGGTGCGAGATGTTCTCCTGAGGTGAAAGGCACTGAGTTAAATGCAAGGGCTAACGGTTTCTGAAGTCAGACTAAGTTTAGGAATTTTCTACATTTATCTGCGATCTTAAATTCTGCAAATGGCAATGGTCTTACAGGCTACGAATAGGTAGAATTTCAAGCTTCATAACTTGCCAGGGTCTCCCTTTCCCATCTTGATTTACTTTGATGCCTTTTATTAAATCCACCCATTGTATTCTGCTGCTAAAATGGGTGCATTTCACGTGATAGTTGGAACTGACTGCCCTGAATTTACTGGTGTCACCACGAGAGAGGAAATAATTCATGACAATGTGGTTTCATGTTTATCTTGCAGCAGAGCATTAGGAAAATAATGTTTTCAGTTAACGTTGACTGACACAACTCCCTGAATAAATGCAAATAAAACTATCCCAAGTTGTATCTCTCTTCTGATTTGACTTCTGGCTGCAGGAGCCTTTCTGCCGTCCGGAGTTTGGATCTCCTTCACTAATGTGACCTTAAGGTTTTTATGTTATATTTTGTAACAGGAAATGAGCATATGCATTTCAGCCCCTAAGTCATATAAAAGTCTTTTTGAAAAAAGATGTGCTTTGGTTTAGACGTATCTAACGTGACGTACAACCAAGTGAGATTTAGAGGAATATTTGGAAGCATTTGAAAAAATGCTTCCCAAAAATGAGGAATTTTGAGTGTGAGGAATGTAGAGTGCACACCAATATGTTGAGACTTTGAGCTTACATAATGACACCAAAGAGCAATGCTGGGGAGCACTGCATTATCGGAGGTGCCGTTCTTCCTGAAAGGGTGGTGGAAGCAGTTTTAATCATAACTTTCAAAGGGGAATTGAATATATACTTGAAAAACAATTGCAAGGCTATAGGGAAAGAGCGGGGGTGTGGGACTAGTTGGCTAGTTCTTTCAAACAGCTGGAACAGTCACGATGGGCCGAATAGACTCCTGTGCTGTAGGATGCTACGATTCTATGAGACATTAAACCTGCTTGTTCAGATCTATGTTAAAGATCTCATGGCATTATTCGAAGGCAAGAAGAGAATTTCTCCTGGTTTCCTCGCCAACAATCGTTCAAACAAAATTGGTCAAATTTTAAATCCTTCACGCCCTTGGACCTCTCTATCTCTGTGATCTTCTCCTACCGCACTCCTCTGCTTGCTCTATCCACTCAACAAAATGAGGCCTGCTGTTATTCCTCTGCCCCACCATCAGAGGCCAAGCCTTCAGCAACTATATCCCAACACCCGATCCTTTGGAGGTCCCTCCCTCTATCCCTCTATCACACCCCTTTTTCAGTTTAAATACTGCCTAAAAATCTGACTCTTTGACTGCACCTATGGTCATTTCCCCTCCCTTGTTTGGCCTCTAACACAATCTCTAAAACGCTCCAAAACATTATCCTATGTGAACGGTGTTATATAAATGCAAGTTGTTGTTGTATTTTTTTATCGCTTGATAACAGATTTGATGTGTTCAGACATCAAAAGCAACGGAAAGATCAAATGGAAGTAAAGATATTTTTATACCAGGAACATTTCCCAGTGGGTAAACATCTCGAAACACTTTACGCTACGAGCCAAAGCAAAAACAATAACTTGCATTTACATAATGTCCTTCACGCAGCGATAGTGCTACGAAGTGGCGAGGTTGGATGCTGAGCAACAACAACAGCAACAACAAATCACATCTGTATAGGGCCTTTCACGTCGGGAAGACATCTCAAGGGACGCAAGGGAGAAGGGGGAGGGAGAGGTTACCACAGGCATAGTCAAAGAGTCTTAAACCTGAAGTGGAGTCAAAAAGGTAGGTTTGTATTTGAGTTTTGAAAGCAAAGCAAAGAGGAAGGAAATAAGGCAAAGAGATTTGGGGTGAATCCAGAAAGTGGGGGCAAAGTGGCTGAAATTTCGTCCACTGATGGTGGAGCAGAAGGTGCAGAGGACATGAGTAAAGTAGAATTAATTACTGTAAGCTAGTTTCCATTTGAGCATACTGATAAAATCACATATCGACTTACATATTTATAATCTCAGCGCTAACAGGATGGAAAATCAGCCCAATATTTAATAATGTAAATGGAGCGTAGCACACGTCAATGTAAAAATATTCCAAATAACATTAAATTAACAAGTAATAGCCTTCTCAGTAACAGATAGCATCTGAGCACATTACATTTGCAGCTTGCAGCCTTTTGCCTGAAACATTGATGCAGAACACTCTTAAGCCAAGCTAAAGCAGACGAGAATTTAAAATCCGACAATAGGTTATAATAATCCTTATATTTGTTGTAGCACCTTTTAGATCAAGATGGCGTCTCTAAGCGCCTCACGGGATTTACTGTAAAGTGACTATGCAAACGCTGCAGTCAGTTTTGCACACAGTAATGTTCCACCAACATCTATGAAGTGAATCACCTTTTTTTATTATTACCCAGGAGATCACAAGGATGCCAGTCACCAGGCATTTTGATTAAAGGAAGCGTATAGTTTAGTTAAAAGGTACCCTACAATCTAAAATTTAACAGTGAACCAGAATCACCTTGGCTCAGTTGGTAGTATTTGTGCTTCACTTTACTTAAATGTTTGTAGGTTCTCCTGTCAACCCTCTGCCTTTATTTATATCGAGTGCTTCTTCATAATGGACAATTTCAAACTTCACCTTCACTTCTCCTGCCCTATCTCCTCTTCACCCTACACATAAACTCCCCACTCCCAACCGAGGCCACCCCTTCGCTCTCGTCATAACTCATGTCCTTGATAAGACCTTCTCGGATCATTTCCTCATCAACTGCGCTTTCCACATCTACTTTCCCTGTACCATAACTTCCACTATCTGTTTCCATCACTGGAAAAAGCTTCCCCCTGAGGTACTGTTCTTCAGATTTGACATTAAACCGAGGTCCCGTCTGCTTGTTCAAGGTAACCCCTGGAGTCCTGGAGCTCAGTGGCTAGAGCACTTGCTTTGCAAGTGAGAGACCTGAGTTCGATTCCTGACAGGGCAAAACCTTACGCAAGTTTCCTTACTCCACACGCCTAATAATAATCCCTCAAAAAAAACAATAATAAATTGGTCACTTCAATCCACGACTGTTTGTGGGACACTGCTGTGCACAATTGGCTGCTGCATTTCGCCCACAAATATACAGTCAATTCACTTTACAGTATATTCTGTGCTTTGAGACATCTAGAAGGCGTGCAAAGCGCTACATCAAATGCAAGGAATATTATTATTATTATAATTACAGGTTGCCAGGAAGGATGAGTGAGGCCAGGACGTAGGACTCATTTAAAAAACAGCTTGGTGCTATGAAGGGAAGACAGTAGGGAAAGTGTTCTGGAAGGATGAGATCAAATGGGCCGAAGAGCCTTCTTCATCCAACTAATCTTTTGATCTGGTCATGCTAAAGAATTATGTTAAAGACACAATTGGAAAAGAGAAGGGAGTTTCTCCCGCTGCCCTGGCCAATAATTCCGAACTAAAAAATTAGTCATTCACTTTGGGACTGTCTGTGGGATCTTGATGTGCACATCGCCCTCAAATACTCGGTCAGAAAAAAAACTTTGCGAAGTGCTTTTTTTCAAAGTTATTGTTTCAATATCAAATGGAAGGATTATTGTTAAAATTATTTTGTAAGCTTCACGTATAAACATTTATTTGCTGAAATTATCAGTTGATGTTACAGTTTAAATTGCCACGATAACCATCTCAAGCTGCCAAGTGGTGTAAAGTGATATTGAAAGAAACAGCACGTGGCATAGTTAACAGGGCAGTGATTTGATTAGACATGGTGATATTGCTTTACAACCACAGGGGAAAACAGTCAAAGCCTGCAGAGTGGTGACAAGGTTCAACTCACATTTAAAACTCAAATCTCCAGGAATGAACAGCCACGGACTTATGTTCATCCTCCCAACCTCTTATGGACATTAAAGAGATATTTCGGGATGAATTTCTTTGCGTTTGTGTTATGGCGAAAATGGAAACTCACTGGGGTCTAAATCACCAAACAGTAGGATAGGACGACCCAGGTTTAGTGACAGAGAAAGTAAACTCACAACTGAAGTTCCAGATGCACCAAGAATAAAAGGGCACAGGTTAAGAGTTGCAAAGGAGAATTTCTGGAAGCATTTCTTTACACAGAAGTGAAATAAACAACTGCTTTGGGTTATCAGGAAGGTTGTTGGAGGCCAGGACATTGGACTCATTTAAGAAATAGCTTGATGTTGTGATAGGAAGAAAGAAAATAATAATATAATACTTATCCTTTCATTTCATATGGTGGATTATCACATCGTTGACATGTCTCAAATCGCCACACAAAATATATTGTAAAGTGAACTAAATAATAAGCCTTTGGTCTTGTTTGCTGATGAGCTACAGGACTATATATAATAATAATCCTTGCATTATAAAATATCCTTGCAGATAAATGAAATCTTAGTGTTGTAGCATTTGATGTAGCCCCTTTCACGTCTTCTAGAGGTCTCAAAGCACTTCACAGAATATACTGTAAAGTGTACTGACTATATTCGTGGGCAAAACGCGGCAGCCGATTGCGCACAGCAGTGTCCCACAGACAGTCTTGGATTGAGTGACCAAATGTTATTGCTTTTCTTTTTTCTTGAGGGATTATTATCAGGCGCGTGAAGTAAGGAAACTTGCCCAAGGTTTCGCCCTGCCGGGAATCCAACCCAGGTCTCTTGCTTGCAAGGCGAGTGCTCTAACCACTGAGCTGCAGGACGCCACAAAAATATTTGGTATTTTCAGAGATTAAAAGGGTTCTCTTCATCAGAATCATTCTTTGATAACATAGGAGTAATTTATCAATATTATCGATAAACTTACTGTATGGATGCCCAAGCCGTTGAGCATGTATACTACGTCTTCTGTAGAAACGTTCCCGGAAGCAGCTTTAGCATAAGGGCAGCCACCAAGTCCAGCAACAGAGCAGTCCACTACACAGATCCCCATCTGCATAAAAGAACACAAAGTGACTAGGATACATTCTGTTGGCGATGAACTGGTTTGACAGACCATCTACTGCAGAATGGGATCGGAAGTGTCAGACAGTCCGAAGTATGTGATGTTCTAGATGTAAGTTCAGTAACAATGATTAATAATAAGCATGAGTACAGTAACGATTGTTAATACTACTAGAGTATTAGGACATCCTCCTGATATGAAAGGCGCTATACAAATGTAAATTTGTAATTTTCTCTATTGTAGAGTATTTATCGCATGGTGGTTTTTGTGGTGGACAAAGGCCACAATATAAATACAATACAAAATTACATTTGCAAAGCGCCCTTCACGTCGGGAGCATCTGAACAGTCGGAGATTAGGACCCGAGTTGGGTGGGGGTGGTTCACAAAGTATGAAATATGTACACGGAATTGGTTTGATCCCAATGAGAGTAAACTCTGATTGCTGATCAACATTCTGATTGCTGCATGAGATATCTTGGCATTAGAAAGGATACAGCTCCAATGCTAAGATGTCTTCTTTCAGCCACTATACTGAGAACTCTGGCACTCTCTCTCTCAATCCCTCCGCCTTGTGCGACTCTTTGAGCTTGCCTAGGATCACCTCCCTCCTCCCGAAGGCTTGGTTTCAGGCTCTGCCATTGCTAAGCGCCCCGAGTTGTTAGCCTCCATGAAGGGCGCTATATAAATACAAGCTGTTGTTAGGGACAATCAAAGTGAACTAAGTTGATAGCTTGCATTGTGCACCTTAGCAGAGACGATAGAGGTTGGATATGTTCAAAGTGAGGCCAAAAAGGCACTTACAATAACAACAACTCGCATTTATATAGCACCTTCCATGCAAGGTAATGTCTCAGAGCACTTAACAGAGGCGAAGCCTGACTCCGAGCCGAGGGAGGGGTGGTGACTATAAGCACGGTAGAAAAGGATGGTTTTCAGGTGGGACTTGAAAAGGAGGAGAGAGGGGGCAAGGTGGAAGGATTGAGGGAGAGTGGTCCAGAGATTCATGGCGTAGTGGCTGAAAGCGCAACTTTCTGCACACTGTGCACAAAATGCTACTGATGTAACTTCGTTCAGGAAGTGATTTGAGCAGCAACGTGATGCTGGAAGTCAGACATTTTTTTCACATTCTTTGATATTGAACTCATTTACTGAACACGTACATAACCATCACATTATAATAGAGGTTGCTCTATAGTATGCTTAATATAAACAGAAATTATATAAAAGTGGGCTCAGACTGAAGGTAGTCACAAATTTTGAGAACCTACAACATTGTAACTTTTACCAAGTGGTTAGAACATTTGCCTCGCAAGCAAGAGGACCTGGGTTTGATTCCCATCAGGGCGAAATGTTAGGCAAGTTTCTTTACTCCACACGCCTCTGTTTACCTAGCAGTAAGTAGGAATAAGTAATAATAATTTGGTCACTCGGTCCATGAGTGCTTGTGGAACACTGCTGTACACAATTGGCTGACGCTTTTCGCGCACAAAGTATACAATCAATTCACTTTACAGTATATTCTGTGAAGCACCTTTAAATGTCTCGAAGACTTGATAAGCTGCTAGATCAAATGCAGGGCTTATTATTAATTATTAGTAGTAGTATTATTATTATTACTATTATTATATCAACATAGCACAGATTTAAAAGAGTATTCCTATCTTTTCCCAGTGTAACCAGTTTTGTTTTGCTGAAAATCAAGCTTTGCAGGGATTGAGGAATCCATTATATTTTGAGCCAGTGTCTCATATTGAAGCCGACATTGCACATACTGAATGAGACAGCAGATGGCACTGCTAAACTGCTGCAAAGGTAATCTCCACTAACGGGATTCAAGATCAATTATATTCTACTACCAAGTTTTATGAAATAAATGTTATGGTTTCCTACCTCCAACTCTGGAACTCCCCAACTAAATCCCTGCCTCGCATTCTCCTTACCCATCTTCAGATCATACCTAAATACCTTCCTCTTCGACCGTTCCTACGGTCACCTCCCCTTCCTCCCCAGCTCGGGTCAGGCTCCGCCACTGTTAACCACTCTGAGACTCAACGCTGCATGAAGCGCGCTACATAAATGCAAGTTGTTGTTGTTGATATTACACAATCATATTTAGACATCTATAGCCATCATCATTGTACAAATTATTTATAAGCATTATAAATAAAGGTGGTTCATGTGTTGACCCCTGTGGCTTACCACTAACAACTGGCTCTCAGCCGCGTGGCTCCATGGACTATTGCTCATTGCTTCCTACCAAATCACTATTTGCTAATCTACTCCAATACATTGCTGCTATCCCATGGGCCTGGACCTCATGCAGTCTACAGCCAAACGCATATAGTTTCATTATAAAGAATGTACAACACAGAAACCGGCCACTTGGCCCAACCAGTCTATTTATACTCCACGCAAGTCTCCACCAATTCCCTACTCCCTCCTTGTATTTCTCTCTCCCTCCTGTGAAGATCTAGAATCACCTATATTAACTGATCCAACCACTGCTTCAAGCAGCGAATTCTACAATCTCACTACCCTCTGCGTGAAGCAATTCCTTCTAAGTTCTCTTTTAGATCCCATGGTGCGCTATCTTATACTTGTATCCCTTGGCAGACTCCCCAATCAGGAGAAACAGCCTATTTATGTTAACTATATCAAATCCTTTTATAATTTTAAACACTTCTAATAGGTTCCCCCTTAAACATCTATTCTTTAACAAAAAAAGGCCTGATCTATCCAATCTATCCTGATATTAGTAACCTGCCAGGCCTGGTATCATCCTAGAAAATCTAATCTGTACTCTTTCCATTGCTGCTATATCCTTTTTTATAGTTGGAGATCAGGATTGGACACCATACTCCGAATGTGGTCTGACTGAGGTTTTCTATAAATTTAACCCTTTATCCTCTCTCCCTGCCTTCAAAACCCTCCTCAAAATCTATTTCTTTGACTGTACCTCCGGTCCACATCCATCTATTCAAAGAACGAACTAGAGTGCTAGTGTGCAACTTGTTGGGATTGGTCTAACACTCTAGTTCGTTCTTTGAAAAAAAACATCAGAGAGACCTTTCCCAGTACATTGAAACACTGATGCGGAGACGGGATAAATGTATTCACACTGCCATTAACTACAGCAAACCCACAATTATATTCACAGAGGAGAAGGGATTAGACAAGCACATCCTCTTCCTTGATGTGCTAGAAAAGGGATTGTCAGATGTTGCCATCAACACCAGCATCCTGGAAATCAACAAGAGCCAACTAAATTATAGCTCATTATAACCTGACTGAAATCATAGTGTTCCACCAAATGAGACGATCGCCTCTGCACAGTTGAACACTCAGAAACCACTAAATAAAAACTGTTATTTTAATTTATCGCTTATTACTAACCCGGCTCAGTTGGGAGAACTCTCAGAAAGTTGTGGATTTAAGCCATACTTTGAGACTTGAGCTCACAGTCTAGGCTGACATCACTGCAGTGCAGTGCTGAGGAATGCTGCATTGTTGGAGGTACAGATTCAATAAGAGCTTTCATTAGGGAATTGGAAATTTACCTGAAAAGAAAAAAAATTGCAAGCCTATGGAGAAAGAGCGGGGAAGTGGGACTGATTGGGTATCTCTTTCAAAGAGCCGGTACAGACACGATGGGCCGAATGGCCTCCTTCAGTGCTGTAGGATTTATGATAGGTGCTGTCTTTCAGCTGAGACGTTAAACTGAGATCCTGTCTCTCCTGTTCAGGTGGACATTAAAAAGCTGTGCTTTTATTCGAAAAGACAAAACAATTGAAATTAATTGCTCGTTCTCCTCAGGGCCGTTGGTGGGGTCCTGGTGTTGCAAATAACTACCATCTTCAACATGACGATGTCTCAAACCGCTTCACACAATTCATTGTAAAGTGTATTGATTGCGTTTTATAGTGGATTTGAAAGTTTCAAACTGTTTCACAGAGTATTACTGTCAATACTGGTGACTGCACATTTGTAAGCAAACGTCACAGCTAATTTGCACACAGCAAATGGAGTGAATGACCAATTCTATTTGGGGGATTGTTGGCCCGGACACCGGGAGAAACTCCCTTCTCTATTTGAATAGTGCCGTTTGTTTTTCTTTAACAATCACCTAATCAGGCCATCAGGTTCTCGGTTTAAAATCTCATCCAAAGCACGGCACTTCCTACAACGTATACTCCCCCAGCAATGGAATGGAGTGTCAGCCGAGGCTATAGGTTCAAAGTTCCCATGTGGGGTTTAAACCCACAATACTCTGACTCTAGAGTGCTACAAACTGATCTGAGCTAGGGCCCTCAGAAAAGCAACGCAGATTACATTGCATGTAACCTTACCACTTCTAATGTCAAGGACAATAGTTTTCCTGCAGAAATAATAAAAAGCAATATGGGAGGATAGTGAAATAGCACAAAGGAGATTTCAGACAGCCACCCAATAGTTTGAATGTCCAGTAGGAACAAGGAAAACACTCACAGCGCTGAAGCTGCATGTCACAGTCTTAACAGTTTTATCTCTTAACTAGAAAAATTAAACTGATTGAAAATAATTCACTTGCAATTGCGGTCGGGTTGGACGATTGACCCATTGAAGCTCTCGGTCACTGAGCCTGTCATTGCATCTTCCCCACGCCCCCCTCCCTCCTCTATATACAAACACAGAGGGGCGCCTCTAACATGCTTTACTGTTGCGACAATGACCCTACAATGATGTCTCAGAAACAAACGTACACAATTGAAGATCGGTGAAAATAAGCAGATGCGTGGGTGTTCCTTTCAGAAACAGTAGCCGGGCTAAGATTGTGAGGACTCGCTTTGCTTGTAACCCATGAAATCATAAGTGGGGGGGATGGGGAGAAACTTTGAAGACAGCTTCACTAAATGACGGAACAGAGCTCCAGGATAAGGTTCTGCATTAAGCAGCCCCTAAAGAATTCACTGAAGCAATGCAACAAAATGCCTGCTTTTGGATTAAATA